AGATAGATAGATAGATAGATAGATAGATAGATAGATAAATAACACCCCCTTCCCCCCGCCAAAAAAAGAAAACGTTATATCCCCACTGCAGATACCATGAGTAGTAAATAACAACAGCCACCCGCAGAATGGAAACAACACAATGTCGTAAAATCCTCGTCAGATGCCCAATGATGCCCGTACCTGCCAAGGCCCTGAGTCAGGCCTGCTCATACTTTGTGAAGAAGGGAAATTCGCACATGCTGGAGATGGGAGAACACAGTAGCATCCAGAGGAGACATTCTGCACTCTCAGGGAGGCCGGGAGAGTGGAAAAGGGCGGCAGGGCAGCAGGTTTCCCCAACGTGGGAAACACCCGGCTCCTCATAGACCTGTCATCCAGCAGAGGGATGAGCTCGCAGGTGTAGAAGTGGCCGCTGTGCCCTTGACCCAGCCATGTGGCGATTTGTGCCTGGATGTATTTTTTGTTTTTACTGGGGTGAGTGGGGTGGGATTAGATTTATTTATTCATTTATTTTTTTTAATGGAGACACTGGGGATTGAACCCTGGGACCTGGTGCAGGCTACACACGGACTCTACCACTGAGCTGTACTCTCCCCACCATGGTTGCTGTTTATAAGTGGACTCTGGTTTCCTTAAAAACACACAAGTTCCTCCAAAACTCTCCCTTTGCTCTTTTTTTTTTTTTAAAACAATGTCCCTTTGCTCTTTGATCCTGTTCCTTCACGTTGGTCAGAGGTAGTTACACATAGATGACAAACATGTTTCATACCGTTTCAGAGCCGCAAAGGACTTTTGGGTATGGATTATACTTTAAAAGCAAAACCCAAACAGCTTTATTGAGGTATAACTGATATACAGAAAACTCTGACATACTTGATCTTTGATGGGTTTGGAGTATGCATGCACCCATGAAACCATCACCACAATGATAATAAACACCCATCACCTCCAGGAGTTTCCTCCTGCCCTCTCCCCCTCCCCTGTTTTTGGTGACAAGAATACTCAGTACCATGTTAGCTGTAGGCTTGGCATATAGAATATATGGCCTTTATCGTGTTGCGGTGAATTATCCTTTTGGGGTTTTAGAAACAACCCAGAAGACAGTGGACAGCAAAGAAAACATAGAAGTTGTACCAAAAGAGATTAAAACAAAACAAATTAAAGTGTTTTCACTTCTGATCTCTCCCCTACCAAAGAAAAAATGATTGTATAAGTTATTTAGAAAGAACAAGACTAGGCCTTAAGGCATTAGAATCTTTTTGCTCATCTAGATTTCTCCTTGAATTATTTCATGCCCCTTGCTTGCCCCCATCTCTTCTCCTGCCCCTATCCCTGAGTGGTAGGTCCAACACCTTGGCCCACAATTACCTGGAGTCACCTCTAGTTGCCTCAGAGTTGCTGTGTCTGGTGTACCCCTTAGCCTGCTGCAAAACCTCCCTTAACTCAGGGCTGAACATAGCAAGCCTGGGTCATTACTAATGGATCAGCTGGTTAGTTCCTGGCTTGGCCCAGCTCACCCATGTGCCTGTGGTCAGCTGAGTTTTGGGCTCTTCCCATCCCTGATTTATGAAGCCCTTTTTGCTTCTCAGCAGAGGTATGATCTTCCTCAGCACCACTGTCATGTCTTCTCTCAGACCCCACCATGGTCCCCTCACCTGAACAGTGGGCAGGCTGGACTTCTGGATGAACTGGATGGCACCTGAGTCCCTTGTGTTGAAAATCCGTTGACATTTACCCTTCTAATGACGTGTCCTTCCATTTCCCTCCACCTCTTATCACACACAGAATTGTGAATTCCTTTTACCTTGTACATCTCTCTCAAGTGGGCGGGAAGCTTTTGAGAACAAAGAATGCCTTGCCTTTTCTCTTGTCCCTGGCTTCCAGCCCAAGGCATTCTAGGCAGTAGGTGCTATGTGCCCTGTTGATACCTGAGATAAAGGCGTGAATGAGTGACTGAATGAAGTCATTGATGAAACCAGGAAGGAGGCAGAATGAGGTCCTGGTGACCTCACATGAGTAAATAATGTATGTGGCGTTTCCCTTACTTATTTTTGTTCTTTCGTTGTTCTTAACAGTTCCAATTTTTACTTAAAATTTCTTAGCTATCTCTTTTTAGTAGATACTGCAGGTTTGCTTCTGGTTACTGGTGCTTGGCTTCCCCAAGAAGCTGTAAAGGCAGAAGCAAGTGTTTTCCAGTAAGACCGTGGACCATGGGGAGCAGGCTTATGTTCTAGTTTATTTTCCCACTTGATTTGCTAGACTTGGATTCCTGGTGACTTGTAGATGGACCCTCGGTTTGCTCAATTTCCCAGAATCACGCTTGCTCTGTTTTACTTTGTATGAGTTACTTAATGGCAGGGAAGCTTGTG